ACAATCGCTCTAATTGCCATGGCTCTAACACGTTAAACAAGTACCCCCCGAGGCCCCTCGAACGGCTGGCATAATTAATAGTGGCTGCTTTGGAGCTCTGGGGCTCCCTTAGATATAAACACGACGGGCATAATTATCTGGCTCGTTATTTATTGTGTGTACAGTCCCGGTTTTTGGACTGGGGCAACGTTGCGTATGAGCGTTGAACTGTGCGTGGGTGGCGGCCATTTGAGCGTGGCTCTCTAATGTCCAGCTGGCCTGGTATAAGGGAGGCGAACCATTGTTTACTGGCCCTTTTCGGCCAGTCTGCAGTTAGCACACACAGGGCATGCAAATTTTTGCACTCTGCCCTCGTCGGAAGTTGCTGGATTTTGATTTATGCCAACGAAATTTATGCCATACAAAGTGCGACTTGTCCTGTCTCTGGCTTAAAGTACCCTCAAATGCGAAAAACAGAAACTGAAACTGGAACCCCAGCAGCTTTAAGATCTTTGGGGGAATAGATTTCGTTATCGAAACAGTAGCATCTACAGAACATCATCAACTTTTGCCTTGTCAGACATTATAAACGGCCTGCACACGCCTCATTTATTATTTATTATTTGTACTTGGGCCGAGGACTTGCGTTTGCATGTACGCAAATTTCACCAGCCAACATTAGCAGGCAGACATTTTCTTTTTTGCCTTTTGGTACTTTGTATCTGAGTATTTTCCAAGTTATCACAATCGCCGAGCGAACGCGCGCACACCGGAAATACGAGCGGGATGCCAGGATGTCGGTCTGCAGATGGGCTGAATGCTCGTCCCGCTCTCCAACGCGTGTTGATTTTTTGAATACCAGTTCGTATCGCTATGATTGCCGAGTTTATGCCGCTCGACAGCTGTTAATGGTGTAATCCCCTTGTCGAACGACAGATCCTTTAATTAAGAGGCCACACGTTTGGCTGCTCTTTAATGGTTTGTAAGATTTGTATGCGAATTTCGGAAATTTGGATATTTTAATGCTCTCGCTGCTCGCAGGCTGATGGAACTGCTGGGCTGCTTAATTGTCGAGCTTATGCCGATGATGCTGCTGATTAGCTCTGTGTGCTGGCTTATGAATACTTCCGTTTTAAGTCTGCTAATTCGATTAGCAGAAAACATATGCCACGGAATTTTCTGATGGTGGATTGAGCTTTTTAGGGGGCTTGATAATTATCGTTAGGGAGAAATTGCAAAGAGAATCGCAGGAAATAACGAAAGTTAGTTCTAAAACTAAATTCTTTTACAGACTTATTTGCCACGCAGTGAAGGAAAAATTTTGGATCCTAACTAATTAGTAATTTACAAATTTCGCGTGACTAGCGCAACAAATATTGAGTTTTAAACTTGTAGCGTTGGGAAGAACTTTTATAAATAAATACAACGCAATACAAATAAATATTGTTAATCAAAACGATCTAATCGATGTCAGTCTATCAGTCTGTAGGGTCTATCTGTAGGTCAATTTATATACAAATCTCACGCACATGAATTGGCTTATCTACGGTTTTCGAAATATGAATTTAGTTTACTAAAATGCTTAGAAGATCTTATAGATGTTTGAACTGAGGTCTTGGTCTGAGTGCACAGGAAGCTTCAACAGAATCACGATCCTCTTGATTATATAAGCAAAGTAATCTACATACTAATTTAAAAATGTAGAAAAATTAAATATGTTGATATATGATATATATATTTGTATAAATATATGTTGTCTTATGCGATACCCAATTTACACAGTTATTCCATGAAATGGGCAAAAACACCGATTTTTAATTTAGGAAAAATGAGATTCAGAATTTCGTAAAAAAATACGTTTTTTTGTGGTTTTTTCAATTGCAGTTTTGTCAAATCAAGGCTTACAGCTGAAATACCGACTGTTTTGAGGAGCTTGCTTCCAATGCTAACGATCCCCATCACTTCAAGAAAATTTTATTTTTTGATAAATTTTCTCATTTTTATAAGGGGTGACATCACATTTTTTTGAGGAAAATGGTAAAAATTTAACATTTTGAGGTGTTAATGCCAATAGATTGCAAATTAAACGACGAGTTCAACGGGGTATGGCATTCCTAATTCTGACCTCTATTGACAATTTTGCAGCCAAAACATTGATTTTTTAGGGTGGAAAATACGGTTTCAGATTTTAGTCAAAATTAATCTATTTTTAAGCTGTTTTTCAATCGTAGTTAAGCCAAAACAAGGCGTACAGCCAAAAGACCGACTGTTTTGAGCAGCTCACAACTTATGCTAACGATCCTCATCACTTTAATCAAAACTAATTTTTTGACCAATTTTCGCATTTTTTATAAGGGGTTACATCACTTATTTTTGTCAAAAATGACAAAAATTAAACATTTTGAGGTTTTAATGCCAAAATATTGGAAATTAAACAACGAGTCCAACAAGGTATGACATTCCTCATTCTGACCTCTATTGGCAATTTGGCAGCCAAAACATTGATTTTTTAGGGCGGAAAATACGGTTTCAGATTTTAGTCAAAATTAATATAAGGTATATTGAATAATACATTTCCAAATAGGCGTAAATTAAAAATGTAAACTCTTTATAGCTTAATAAACTAGGAAATTGAAATAAATCCTTATGAAAAATGTTTAAAAAGAATCATAACTAAAACTAAATGTATGCTTTTAATGATTTGTTGTTGAAAAAATATACATTTGAGACATGATTGTTCTGGTTTTTTCATTCCAGTTTATAACCGTTGGTTTTTTAACAATGCTTTGCCAAGTTTTTAAGTTTCCATAACTCCGTCGGAATTTCAAACAATCATACTCATCTCATAATGCATTCCAAACTCACCTCAGGATTGTGCCTGTTTATGTAAGTAAGTTTATCCAAAAAGTAAAACTCCTCGACTATCTTTCGGACTTCCGGCGGGTCACGTTGCAATCGTAAACACTTCACAATCGCTCGAGTTCGATGCAGTTAATCACTCACTCAAGTGCGTACAAATTGCCGACCGGAAATGAAATTATTGTCAAAATGGCGACGGATATGCGACAAGTGAACGCGACAGCGACGCGCCACGCAAATAACGGTTTTGTTTGCAGTCAAAGTTGCGAAGTCCTGGAGCGGATATGCAAGGAAATTTGTCAGTGCAAGGACGAGGAAGCCAACTGGACACGGACACCGACGGCAGCGGGCTCCTTGGGCAACACTCGATGCCTTTTCGCACAGGTGTAAAAGGGGTGGAGGTGAGGGTGGGCGGTGGTTGGTGTGAGGTGTGCGGAGAGAGGCTCGCAACGAAAGCGGAACGAAAATGAAATCAAAAAGCGAAATTTCTATAATTTCCGCACAAAAATTTCCGCGACACACTGGCAGGACACATGTGTCCTTGTCGCTTCTTTTACACTATTGCCACGCCCACAGCGAGCAACAAGCTGGGCGTATGTGTCCAAGTTTTCTGCACTCCTTGTGTGTGGGTTTGTTACAGCTCTGTTCTGCTCCACTGTTTGTTTTTGCTGTCTGTTGACCAAGAAAGGTTCGCCTTTGGCCCTCTTCCCGGGAATATTGACGACGTGTGACCGACGAATCTAAACCGCAAAGTACCGCTATTATGTCGTCCGCGACGTGTTGCACTTGGTAGCGCGCACTCCAAGTTAATGTGGCGGCCAGATCATCCCGTCCAGTCACCAGTCCACGCTCAAAGATGGCGACACACTCCTCCCACAAGCGGTGGTCCCTGGTCGGGGGGGGAGGGTACTCTGGGTATAATCAGCAAGGATGTGTCACCCCATCGTCCTGCGTTCCTGCGGTGACTGATGCGCAGGCGCGCTCTCCGCACCACCCCCACCCACAGCCCACTCTGCCGCTGCCCTTTTATCTGCCACTGTCATCGGCTGCTGCTCCTGCTCCCTGCCCCTGCTCCCAGCTCCTTCTAGTGGGCGGAGCCAACTCTGTGCCATCGTGGATGCTCCTGCGTTCGCCGGGTCCTTTGCTCCATGTTCTTGGGGCATCATTAGTGCTGCCGAAGAGAGAAGACCCCATTTTGGGCGGAAGTGCGTATGAGCAATATTTTAACAATGGCGTTTAAAACAGTTAAAGAGCGTGTGCTGGTGTGCGAGGCCATTAAGGACCTTAGTTTTGCGGGCGCTTTAAGGCCCGCAGATAAGCTCGCATAATAACATTTTAATTTCGAGCAAAAGTGGTCACAAAAGGCGCCCCGAAGAACCCCAGATGTGCCTGCCAAAAAGGATATAATTAACATGCCAGTTGCTGGAGCACACACATGTGTTAAATGACTTTTAGATAAGCGGCCAGCACGCTGACATGATTTAAGGTCCTGCGATGGATGGGGCCGGATAATTTGCGATAAGCGGGATTGGGGGTGATTAATTTACCAGCATAAGTTCAGAAATGCCTTCGAAATGTCTTCGATACGTAGATAAGGCTAATGAGCTGGCTTTAAAATGTTTCAGCGTACGCAAGACACATTACCATCTAAAGGTTCTTTAGTTACTTTTTAGTACTTAATATTAAACCTTAATATAATCTATTGGCTTGTAAAATATTTTGTTTAACTTGCACTAAAGATATTGCCTCTTTTCAAAAAGTTTTATTCCCCCCAGGATATCGAAATGTAACGGTTCATGTAGGATTACCAAAGTTTCTTCCAAGTCCTTGTAGAGCTTTTAGTGAAGAATCAAACCCAATTGGTAACTTTTCAAAAGTAAATTGCAAAATGTAAATTTAAATCTTAGACCCAATTCAATTACAAAAATCTTCAATATTTTAATTGAACAAAACACACAAATGTACACTTATCACAATAAGTTTTGCTGTCTACAACTCGTATGACATAAGTAGTTGAAATTACGAAAAAGTCTGCTCAGTAGCACTTGATCAGTTTAGCCAGTGGTAAAATAAGTTACAAAAATTCGCAAGGGGTTCAGCGGGAATAATGAATGTCTTGGAAATGCGGATGGAATTTTAAAAGGAAGCTGAGAAGTCTTTTAAAAGTTACTTGACGAGCTTAAATGCGACTTTTGGAGCCCGACTTGACTTCGAATAGTTTGCGCACAAAGAAAACCTAAAAAAAAGAACATCATATTAAATAAGGGAATGGAAATTAAAAGAAATAACTTGCCTGTATGGAGCACGTGATCAATATGACCACTATTTGGCTAATCGAGAAGGTTTGAATATAAGCATTGTTGTCCAACAGCAACGCATAATCGCGAGATTCCCGATGCCTGCTATGCGCTTGATAGCCCATCATGTCGTTTATATTCCGCTCCACGGTGCCAATGGTGGCCTAAAAAATAGATCGTTGTAATTTTTTCGGGTGTGTCTAAAACCAGTTTGGCTTACTGTGAAGTTTTGCATGTTCAGCTGCAGCTGTTCGATCTCCTTGGCGTACTTGTCCCAGGCATCGTACTTCACTACTGTGATATAGATGTTGACCAGCTTGCTAGCAAATCGGGAGAACTGGTTGTCGATGCACACGGAATAGTAGCCACCTGGCGAGACCTGGTCCGTGTAATCTGCAGTTGCCTGCCACTGGTAGGGCTTCACCACCTCTCCAGCAGGATTGCGGACTGCGAAACCAGCCATGCCATCGCCTCCTCGCACCACCTGGAAAATAGATCGGTATAATGTTATTGGATTTAACAACACACATATATAATAACAATATTCAGATTACTTTTCTTATATGCATTAATATATATTTTACACAACGTAGCAACTGCCTGATAAGTATTTTAATAGGTCTCATTCGAAAACAAAAAATGTATACTATTCCAATGGGAACTTAAAGAAATATTTCTTGAAACCATAAAAAACGATAAAATATTTGATATTTATGTCTTGAAAAGGGGTTTTCGGTGAAACCCCCTGAATTTGTTAGATTTTAGAATACCGCGTCATTCAGATATTTCTGGTTCATTAACCGTAGTGATGCTCGAACGGGTAATGAGATTAGAACTAAAACATACAACTGTTTTCGAGACCTAGCACCCTTAGTCCCTCCACTTACACTGAAAGACACGTAGAAGGTGGCTCCCGCCTTAACGTACTGATGGTAGCAGTCCTCCTTACCAGCATCTATGTGAACCTGAAAGACAAGACATATTCCCGATGAAAAACGGTCCTCGAGGGGAACCCCGAACCCGGAACCCACCTTGTAGTCCATGGCCACCGCTGGAAGATTCTCGTACCATGGTTGTTGGGCCTCTTGAGCGCTGGTTACGTCGATTAGCAGACAACAACAAATCACGGCTATGGGAAGTATTAAATTTATCTGATCTCTCTGCCACGTCAATTGCATTGTGGGGTTTCGGTTCCTCGGATTACTGGTACGTGGGTGGGATGAACTCAGCGGGCGCCACTCTTCAGTTTCCTTTGCGCTTTCTGTCAACAAAGGGGGAATCTGCACCGGTTAGCTAGCTTTCTATTTGCCAAATTAACATAAAGTTAAATAAACCAAATTCAATAAACAACCGACCTGTTGCTTAGAGGTGGACTATTTTGGTATTTGGTATTTTGGTATTTTCTAGAGCAGGGTTGCCAGATCGGTGAGAGAGGCGCCACTTTTTAATAGGGGTGGCGTTAACAAATTATTTTTCAAAATCAAAGTAATGGTTAGAAATATTTCAAATATTTGTATAGTTGGCAATAAATTACCTTTTTTTTAATGTTGAGAGAAACAATACATAATACAGTTAAAAATATTCAAACTTGAGAAAATAAAATAATAGTATTTTGTTAACTGTAAATAAATATTAAAAATATGCAAAGAATACCCTTTGCTAGCAAGAATTAGGTAACTCCCCCTCAATTTCTTTGACTCCAACCATGCTCTTAAAACAGCCGTTCTGAAACAGGTTAGGCAACTCTGAAATTTGAACCACAATTAAGGTGATTAAAAAAGTGGAGTAAACAAGAATTAGACTAATTTACCGCCGAATTTGAGCAATCTTTTGGATAGGCAAGACTGACACAATTTTTAAAGACCCCTTACCCATCCCCTTCGTCGAAACCCTATTCATAGCCACCTTGTGATAACACTATCTATGTGCATAATCTTGTGTTTTTGTTTTGCGGCTTTTTTTGCGATAATTAATACCAACACAAATGCGCATCGAGTGCTGATTAACCTCTACGGCTTGGAGAGGGTCAGATAAAAACGCAGTGCAATCGGCACTCGCACTCATTCCCCATCTGCAGCCCCATCCAAAATGGTCAACGTCACGGAGGACGTCTTCGCCACCGGAGCGCTGAATCCGATCACCAAATCAAAGGACATCATCAAGCGGTTCACCCTGACGAACGGAAATGGAGTGTCCGTCCAGTTGATCACCCGTGGAGCCACCATCACCAGCATTAAGACACCGGATGCCAGCGGTCAAATAGATGACGTGACCCTGGGATTTGATGACTTGGCGGGCTATCAGAGTGACAGGAATCCCTACTTTGGAGCAACCATTGGACGAGTGTGCAACAGGATTGGCAACGGCAGCTTCACACTGGATGGAAAGCTGGTGGAGGTGTCCAAGAACAGGGACAACAAGTTCCAGCTTCATGGCGGCTTTGTGGGCTTCGATAAGGCCCACTGGGAAGTGGTGGCAGTGCGTCAGGATGGTGTTACGCTCTCCCACACCAATCCCGACGGTCATGAGGGCTATCCCGGAAAGGTTACAGTAGCGGCGAGCTTCACCTTAAGCGAGGATAACTGCCTCCATGTCGATTTGAGTGCAGTGACCGATAAACCCACACCCGTTAATCTCACCAACCATTCGTACTTCAACCTGGCTGGCCACAAAAGCGGAGCCAATGGTCTCTACGAGCACAACATCGAGATTAATGCTTATGCGATCACCGAAACGGATGCATCCTCTATACCAACGGGAAAGATTCTACCAGTTGAGGGAACAGCCTTTGATATCCGTGCACCAGGATATCTTGGTGAACGTCTCAAGAATCTACAACCCGCTCGGGGATACGACGATAACTTCTGTGTAAACTTCAACCCACCGCAACCATTGGCCAAGGTGGCCAGAGCCACCCATCCGCCCAGCGGACGCTGGCTGGAGGTGGTCAGCAATCAGCCCGGAGTGCAGTTCTACACCTCCAACTTCATGCCTGACGTGGAACGTGGTGAAGTGGCTATTCCCGGCAAGGATGGAGCTGCTTACGCCAAGCATGGAGCCTTCTGCCTGGAGACACAAAAGTTTCCCGACTCCGTGAACCACAGCAACTTCCCCTCGACCATTTTGCGACCGGGAGAAACGTACCACCATGAGGTTATCTACAAGTTTGGAGTTTCTCGCTGAGTGGCCCTCACTCTTATCTCACCTATATATACGAATAAATACCATGTATCCGACCACACGTAAATATTATAACCAATAAACCAAAAGCACGCAGGTTATGCAAAGAGGTTCGATCACGCCGAGACCATAAAACAAGGCAATCAATTTACCCCACGAGCTCGAGCCATATATAAACTGTTGAAGGGTTAGGAGTCATAAATCAGTTAAAATGATCCTCCAGCTGGTGCTTATAGTTCAGTTCTCTCTGGGATTAGGCCAGGAGATTGGCTCTCTGCGAATTATGAATGGCACTGCGGCAAAAGTGAAACAGTTGCCATACCAGGTGGGACTGCTGTGCTACTTCGAAGGCTCCATGGATGAGCCCAATCTGTGCGGAGGCACTATCCTCAGCGGCCATTGGATTGTAACCGCAGCCCACTGCCTGCAGGATCCAAAGTCTAAGCTGTAAGTATGGCATTTGATGGATTTTTAATAAATATATAATATTAATTAATCTCTCACCTTAGCTCAAAACTGCTAGTCAACGTGGGCAGTCTCCATTCTTTTGAGGACAAGGAAATCGTGCTTAACAGGAGCCACACCATTGTGCATAGGAAATTCGATCGGAAGACCGTGACCAACGATATAGCCCTGATCAAGTTACCCAAGAAGCTCATTTTCGGTAAAAATATACAAGCCGCGAAGTTGCCCAGCACCAAGAAAACCTATGAAGGTCGTAAAGCCATAATTTCTGGATGGGGCATCACAACCACGCAACAGCCCAGCAGAGTCCTTCAGTACATCCGGGTGCCCATCATCTCGAATAAGGAGTGTGAGAGGCAGTGGAACAAGCAACTCAATGGCACAGGCAGGAAAGTCGTGCCCAGTTCCTTCATCTGCATAGATTCCACTAAAGGTCTGCCTTGTCGAGGGGATTCCGGAGGTCCTATGGTGCTAGATGATGGCTCCAAAACTCTGGTGGGGATTGTATCCCATGGATTCGACAGCGAGTGCAAGCTGAAGCTACCCGATATATCCACACGGGTTTCGTCCCATCTGAAGTGGATTAACTATTACACTGGGGGTCTTAAGAAATAGATCTCGAACCATTAAAAAGCGAATCTCTTTTCAAACGTGTGCTTTATTCTTATTACTTCATACAAACTCCGATACACTTTCTCGTTCTCCGTTCCATTTTCATAATATTCTCTTGTGGCTTTGCTAAATTTGTTATCATTTCTTAATGTTGTTTTCGATTTGTATGTTATTTGTGACTTTGACGGTGTTGCATGTCGTTTAAACAATTTGTTTATGATAATGTTTAGATGTTCTCGTTTGTGGGCTTGGTTTACGTGTGAGTGTGTGGTTAATGTTGCTGATTATTTGCAATTCTTTCTTTCGTTTTTATTTACCTTACTTGTTCTCGCTATTTCGTAAATGCAGTTCTCAAAATGTACAAAAACCTGAATGGAAATGATACAATGAGTGAGTGATACAATTTGGTTCCTTCAACGATTCTTTTAGTATTTGTCCTATATGTACAAAAAGTGTAAACGAAATTGTGAAAAAGCTATACAATTTGTTAGTTAACAAAGCGAATAAGTTTATAAGAACTCGGCTGAATAAATTAGTTTTCTTTTCGTTTTGTGGTAGTTTTCATTTTTTTTTTAATACGGCTGCTTGAAGACTTCAGAAAAATTTGTTTGTAACTAGCGTAAAATTTGTTTATCTTTCGTTTAAATATATAAAAATGCACATATTATCCGTAGTAAATAATAAATTTAAAGTAATTGTTAAATTGTTTTTATCTTTTTGGTAAGATTTTGCTTTATTTTCGTTTGCGGCTTGTCGTGTAAAAATGATCAAGTAATTTACTATGCGTTCAACTAGTTTTATTTTCGTATTGAAATATATATGCTTTATATATATAATTTTGTAACTTTCAATATTGCGTTTATCATTTGCCTATAAATCCATAGAGTTAGTGTGACTTGTAACTATATGTTATCATAAATATTTATTATTACGGTGACCTGTTCCAATTCACAGTTTGAACCGAAAACCGAAATGGAATTTTGCGGCATTTTGGAAAATGATTCAAGAACAGATTTTCATTCGTTAGTTGAAGTGTAAATTTTGTATGCGTTTATTTCGTATAAAATGTTGGTTGGGCTTTTTGTATTTTACTTTTACATACGCAAAATATATTTTGTATATTTTCCATGTTTCACTTAACTAGGGCATTATGTATAAGTTATTATTATTTATTATTACTTTTGCTAAATGTTGCCATCTTTTTGGTTGTTTTATTTTTTTCTTTTTTCCTTTGTTGAAACAGTAACTTTCAGTCATCTTGTAATCATAATAGATACATATATGCAATATTACATACGTACAATAATATTCTGGTTTCGTAATTTAAATTTGTTATGAGCGCCGCGTACAATGCATAAAAAACGCATTCCCTTTCTTATATAGTGTGTCGTGTTCGTAATTCACTTTCGATTAGGTTTCCCCCAATATCGGTTGTATAAAAGCTAAAATGTTTCCGCTGCGTATGACAAAGTTACCTATTTTCCCGATCAGGCGATCCTAGACCCGATACAAAAAGTCCCCTCTCACAATTTTCATAAAAATTTCCCGCTATCGCTCAAACTAAATTTGATTAGATCTTCGGTTTCGTATTTCTTAAATTGTTTTTCGTTTTTTTTTCATCTTCTTTTGGCAGTTATCGTTTGTTAGGTTCTTTTGACATGTTTGTGGTTGTTGTTCTTGTTGCTGCAGCGATATCGGCTGAATATCATTGATTTCATGTATGTATATCTTCGTTATCATTAATTATGTATATGCTAAGCAACTAACATTGGACCATTTCCATTGCGCGACGCACTATATAAGAAAACTAGCTACTTGATTAATTTACCTTTATCCATATACGCATATATTATATATATATATATTATACTCGTATTTATATATTTATATTCGTATTATAATGCAGTTACGTTGCGTTACGTTGTTAAAAAGAATTACGCCGGCAGCCGGGGCACTGCCAAGGAAAGGTAACGGAAACCCATGGAAACCCACGTCCCCGATCTCAGGCCCAGTTCCAGCCCAGCGGAAAAGTATTGTACAGCGAAAGCATCCACCCGGAAAACTGCCTCCCGATCACCTGGCACAGCTGCTGTCGCAGGCAGATCCCCACGGCCACCACTAGGACTACGGCCGCTAAAAGTCATCAGTCGCACTCCGGCCCCTCCGAGAAGTGGCCCCGCACATCCAGGGCCGAGGCCAGCTGAAAGATGATGTGCGACAGCGAGGGGTGCTCCAGCAGTTCGTTGGCCGGCAGCTGGGGCTCGCATCGCGGCCTCATGTGCCGCCCCCGGAATCCGCGGTGCAGGCGCAGCACGACATCACAGAAGACGAAGCGGAGGATCAGGGTGCGCAGGAAGTCGTCGCCAAAGAACTGCACATAGGAGGAGTCTGAAATATAGGGATTATAAATTAGTTCAAAGATTATGAACTTGTACATTTAGTAAAATATTTATACATGGTTAGCCAAAAATAGTTTCATTGTTGTATGTATCATATCTTCTTCTTCTCTAAGTTAAGATCTGTATAGTATATAGTTTTATTGGCAATCTATGGTTAAAAAAGCTGGGTTAATAATAATTTCTGTTCCGAGAATCATGACTTTTGCAAAAAAAGTTAGATACATGAAATTTCGAACGCCAGTCTAAACTTAACGTCTAAAAATATTTTTATTAAGATTGTTAGATCATATATCTTCATGTTTAGATATTTCATTCAAAAAGAAATACATACATATTGCGAACCATCAGGAATACCTACATCTGAATAACCAGTTTCAAGGTATCTTAACCATTTAGAAACCCAATATAAGGACTTTCTGATTTTAGCAGTCAGTAATACTGACCTATAAATCCTATGCCCTGTTCGATCTCATCGATGCGACACCGTGTGACTAGGCGCGAGGCCTCCGTGATGAACCGATCCACGTAGGTCTGGCAGCGTTCCCAGTGGTGGATGGGCACGTCTCCGACGTTGCAGATGTAGCAGAGGGCGGTGAGCGGGGAGTGCAGGAACAATGTAAACAGCGAGCCATGGTGCTGGACATCAGCTGAAATCAAACCACAAAGATCAGAACTGGACAACCCTTTATGGTTACCAAAGGAATCTCACCCTGGAATGCGGGCGGCACATCCTGCGGCGACATGAGCACCACCAGCGGCTGGCCAAAGTAGCGCGGTATGTGCTGAAAGACAAACGAGTTGTCCGAGTCGATCACGACGAACATGGGCCGTCGTGTGAACGGATAAAGATCACCCGGATATAGGCAGTGGTTCTCCTTGTAAGACTTGCCCCGGCACGACAGACCGCCTCCGTCCACGCTGTCCCGCTTCACGCTGGTGGCCAGGCCGCCCAGCTCGTAGCCAACTGGAAAATATTATTTTACGGATTAGATAAGGTTTTAAAAGTGAAAAAGAAAAAGAATTAAACTATAAAGCGATACAACAAATAAAGGATCTTATAGTACTTATTACGATTAATTAAAAACATATGATTTTGTATAGTTTATTTTTTGTACTTTTCTTAAAAGATGTACTTAAAAGTATCTATTGAAGAAAATATTCCGATAATAATGATGGAACATTTTTCAAAAAATTCTAAATATAAAATTTTAACTAAGGACATTGTACTCACAATCCTCGGGATGTTTGGTGGTGGAGAAGCAGCCGTCGGCGGACATGTAGAGGAGTAGGGCACCGCCAAGCGGCAGTTCCTTGGTGCCGCTGGCGAGGAATACCAGCAGCTGGCTAATCGAAGGTTTGTACAGTAAATACTTGTGGGGATTGTCTCGAAAGGCCCGACCGTTCTCCATGTAGCCCTTGGAGCCCGGCACTCCGTATGGCGGTATCCGGCTGGCCGCCGGACTCGCATCGTGCCCATGGAGTCCATGGGCCATGCTCAGCGGATTCGTGGTGGATTCCGTGGGCTCACGCTCCAGCGTCTGCAGCATCCGGAACATATCCATGGTCAGTTCCGAGAACTTGGCCTGCTCGCAGGCAGAGCCCACGATCAGGATCTCCTGCAGGCTGAGGGTCATGTGCGGCGATCGCTCGCAGGGCGGCGTCGTCAGCGGCGACAACCTAGAACCGGAACCACTGGACACATCAGTCGGGGTAGTCGCACTCGTCCTCAGGCGGATGGCGGGGCCCGTGCTTTCACAGAAGAATTGAGAATGCGGCGCACTAATGAGGTGACAAGGGTACGGGTGTGGGATCGAGTTGGGGGATCATGGGCCAAATGATAATGAAATGATAACGTCTTGTGGAGTGTGTGTAGGGTGGGGCAATGAAACTGTTCTCTCTCACTTAATAAATAAATATTTCAAGGTTTTCTATTATTGTAAAAATAAATAAAATGCATTATACTAACAACAATTTTCTGTGTCCTTTCAATTTCAAAGGTAAAAACGTAAAACTCACATTAAAAAATTCATCAATGTTATTAAGAAAAAATGTCAAATACAAAAATATAATATTTGTAGCATTGATATCAAAGTAGTAAAGTATAATTGAGTATAATATAAGTAAAGGATATTTTATTATTTTCAAGGTTAAAAAATTTATGAACCTTACTTTTTTTTAACGTATACAACAGTTTCATTCCCCCAACCCGGATTGTGATTGGTTTGGTGGGTGTTTTTGGGACAGAGATCATGGTTTAAGTGCATGACAAAATGACAACGGTGAGTGTTCTTTGGTGTTTCAAGTCTTCTGTGATAAGCACAACAAATGAACATAATCAACGGCAACGGAACTCAAGCAAAACTCGTATACCTACGCAAACAGAACAGGGCATATAGACATATGCGGACAGATAGAGGCTATACACTTGGCCACCCACAAGCTGTCCAGACTCCTCCTCCGCCGACGAAAGCACGGGCAAATACGCGTGTACGGACAGAGTTTGTGGCAACGACTCACCTGTGCGACAGGATGATGGGATTGGAATCGGCGTGCAGGACGGCCACCGCCGCCTCCGCCTTGATGAAGCCCTTGATCTCCTCCAGCACCAGCGACCACTCCAGATGATCCTCCGGCTCGTA